GTTTATAAATACGGACCGGCGGATCGCCGGTCCGTATTTATTTGCGGCTGGTTACCTCTAAAAATATTGTTTTGCTTGCTCATGACTGAAGTCATGAGTTAATGAGCATCTGAGTGAGGGCTAAAGCCGGTGCTTGCCGGAAGCCCCGGTTCAATGCCCTTGCTGATACATTTACTCCATCAGCTTCATCAATTTCTCTACCTGTATTAAGCGGCCATTCATATCGCAGATACGTACAAAATACAAGCCGCCGGCGAGTGCGCCTATATCAAGGATCTTTCCCGGTGTCGTCGCCAGCATACGACCATCCAGGTTATAAACCGTTGTCTCTACAGGGGTTGGCGTTTCAATATATAATGTATTTTTTGCGGGGTTCGGATATAGTTTTACGGCAGGGCTATTATTTACTGTACCCACATTTGTTGCCGGGTAAATAAAGACCGGAATAGTCTGAGCCGCGTCAACAATACCGGCGGGCGCGGTAATACAAGGGATAAAAACCGTGCTGTCGCGTACTGTATAAGTAAGCAGGTGCAGGCCGGTATCCGAGAGCGAGGGCGTCCACGTAAAACACAGGGAAACCGAGTCTGAATACTGCCCGGTTAGCTGTGTGCTGCTGCCCGGCATTACCAACGTTACGTTACTGAACATGCCCAGGAGATGCGTTACATTATTATTCCCGATCCAGGCATTCATACAAAAGCCCATCGGCACATTTGCAGCCGCGGATAGGCGCCCGGAGGCTTGAACACAATTCAGCAAATGGCTGATCCCGGACAATGGTTGCGGGGTCAGCATCAGCCCGCTGATTGTCATTTGTGCATCCCTCATCACGGAGCCGATCTTCGCACCTCCCCTGTATTCATGAACACGCAATACATAGGCAACAGCGCCCGTGTCCTGCGGTGTAAAGCTCATTTGCCCGGTCAGTGGATTCAGCGTAAATGTATTGCCCGTGGCAAAAGGGTTATTAGTAAGATTATAGGCCGTACTGCTAAAAGGAATATTAGTTGCCACATAATTGCTCCGGCATCCCGCGGGACTATTATAAGTTTCAGGTGCTGTGCGTAGAGATAATAATTCAAACGAAAGACTGTCGCCATTGGCATCTGTTGTGCCGGGGTTTAGCGCATAGGGAAGGCTATTAGAAATAATAGCCGGTGGCGGGCTATTAAACGAAGGCGATGAATTGCCCTGGACAGCCCTATTGTTTAAGCTTGCCTCCAGGTAGATGTTATGGCCGGGCTGGTACTGGCTATTCTTACTGCTATCCCTTGACCCGATCGACGTATAAAACACCCAGTTGTTGCAGCGGGAAGGTAAGGTGATATTTCCCCGGTACCAATATTCCAGGTACGCAGGGGAGGCCGGTGAAGGGATGGCAACCGGTAACAGATCAATATGCCCGCTCTGGCTGTTACAATCGTTATAATAGCAGACCGATGTACCGCTTGGCGGGGTAAGACCGCCCGTGCATGCTCCGTAGAGCTTCAAGGTAACCTGGTAAGTGGAATCGCCGACCCATTTGTACAGCAGTTCACCTCCCTTGAAGTTTGCCGCATTTG